GAAGAAATGCAATCCATTCAAAAGAATCAGACGTGGAAACTAACTAGTCTTCCGAAGGGAAAGAAGGCAATTGGGTGCAAATGGGTATATGCAAAGAAAGATGGATTTCCTGACAATAATAACATCCGCTACAAAGCAAGATTGGCGTCTAAAGGCTACGCTCAAACGGAGGGAGTTGATTATAATGAAGTATTTTCTCCAGTTGTAAAACATTCCTCCATCATAATTTTGTTAGCTTTGGTAGCACAGTTGGATTTGGAACTAGTTCAGATGGATGTAAAAACTGCATTTTTACATGGAGACTTGGATGAGGAAATCTACATGACTCAGCCATATGGATTCAAAGTTGCTGAAAAAGAAGAGATGGTGTGCAAATTAGAAAAATCGCTGTACGGATTGAAGCAATCTCCAAGGCAGTGGTACAAGCGATTTGACAAGTTTATGATAGGGCAGAAGTACACAAAAAGCAAATATGATCATTGTGTGTATTTACGCAAGCTACAAGACGAATCCTATATATATCTTATTTTTTATGTTGATGATATGCTGATAGCTTCCAGGAGTCAGACAGAAATTGCGAAACTAAAGACTCAATTGAACAGGGAGTTTGAGATGAAGGACCTTGGTGAAGCGAAGAAGATTCTAGGCATGGAGATATCAAGGGATAAGAAATTGGGGAGGCTTTGTTTGTCCTATAAAACCATTATTTTTTCTCCCTTCTATTTTCTCGCAGTTGTGACAAAGATTCTGAGTCCAAAAGCTTGAGCCTTTGAGGACTTTGTAGTTGTCCCTTTTTTTCAAAAGTAGGCTATGCTTTACTTGATTTGAGTTATTAGTTTCAAAAATAGCATTGTTTATTTGGCCAAGTGAAAGTAGCGTGATTGTAATACAAAGTTGTTCTTAAAACTTTTGTATTATACTAAGTTTCTCTGAGAAGACTTTTTCTTTGAACTTTTTGTATATTACTAAGTTTTTTCAAGTGTTGTTCTGGCCTTTTTGCATGATGTCAGGGCTGATAGGGGAACCTGATAATGAAACTTTTTAGAAAAATGGAAAAGTTATAGATTCCTATTTTTTCTCAAATGTCTTTTAAGGCATTGCTGCTATATTTTGGGTCAATCTAAATTGGATCAAAAAGTGGAAATGCTAAATTGCGCAATACTCTGGCTTTTATAGTAAGTTTTATGCATCTTTCTTTTTCTTTGTAGTGGTGTTAGAGCTTTCGGTGTATCTCTACTGGTTGCTGGATACGATGACAATGGTCCACAACTGTATCAGGTATTCCTCGTAGACAGTAGCTCATTGTATGACAGGTATAGGTTGCATACAATGGTTTATATGCTTTTTCAACTTTATGGTTTGCTCCTTGTCACTAGGTGGATCCATCTGGTTTCTATTTCTCATGGAAAGCCTCAGCAATGGTGAAAAATGTCTCAAATGCGAAAACATTTCTTGAGAAGAGGTATTTGCCTAGAATCCGATTCTTATAAAATTCAGCACTAGTTAAACTAAAAATTATGTATGATGTTAGATCGATTATGTTAGGATGTCAATTTTATAGCATGTGATCATATAAACGATTTGTATCTTTTCCAGAACTGAGTTGGACATTCTCTTACTTTCCGGTTCTTGTTGTGCAAAGACTGAAATTTCGGTTGATTATTCCTTCCTTGTAGATACACTGATGATATGGACTATGGAGCTTATGATGCTGTGCACACCGCTATTTTGACTCTCAATTCTCAAAGAGGGGTAGGTTTCCTCCACCTAAATGTTGCCGTTGAGGACTATATGTATCAAGAAACCTCAGAAAATGTTGATCTTGGGTTGCCTTTATAATTGTCTTTGTAATTACAACCAGTTTTCCTCAATTTGCAGATTTGAAGGACAAATCTCAGGGGAAAACATTGAAATCGGGATCATTGGAACAGACAAAATTCAGGCAAGCACTGCTTTATTTCAGAACGGTTTTTTCTGCCTATGTACATTATTTCTTTTATGATGGCTTATGGTGTTTGCTACGTTGCAGGGTACTTAACCCAGCTGAAATTGATGATTATTTGGCTGAAGTGGAATAGCTCATCTTCTTACTGGAGGCTATTTAGAGGTGTCTTTTATATAACATTTGTTTTTGAGACGATCATTTCAGTAAAAAATGTTAGTTTTATGGTGTAACTATGGTTTCCATTCTCGGTTACAATCTCAACACAAGCTGGAATCCTAATGAGTTGAATACTATGATCTAGTCTGCAGTTATCAAGTTCAAATGAGTTTTGAATCTATTATGCAGTCCAATCTGCTGAAGTGGTTTTGGAGTATATGATCATTTGGTACATGGAATGTTACAAAGAATTTTTAAACTAACGCGAATGGTCGGGTGGCATGAACAATTGTTTCTAAATCATCAATTTCCCACGGTTCCAGATAGGAAAATCACTTCACTTGTAAGTCTTTTCCATTTTCTATTTGGTCCTCTAACATTAAATACTCTTTTCAATCAAGCCATATATAAATAATCCAATTAGACTTATCTAAAGTCAATTGCAAAATAGTTTTAAAAGGAATTCTAACCGTTATATGAAGTTGGTCAGTTGAGACTGCTTAATCAGATCCCCCAATAACTCATCATATTCGGGATTTATGAATATGGCCAATTAAAAAGGGACGCCACACGTTTTTTTAAGCATGGAATTAAAATTGACCCAGCCAACCGACACCGAAGAAATCAGGTAAGCTAAGCTGCCATTGCCCTCGCATACTATTTTCTATTGCGTTAATCTTATATAAGTAAATACGATGTAATTTATATATAAGTTCAAAGAAATTAAATTACACTTTTAGTATAAGTTCAATTATTTACTTCATTATTTAATTCAGTCTCCAATTGACATATGAGGAACAAACGAAAACATAATTCTGAATATTGACCATGCGGATGCCGATGGCTGATGGCAACTAAGACCTTAGAAGATTCCAAGAAATCCAAAGTGTTGTTGTTTATTCCTACCATGTACTTGGAGAAACCTTGCTTCTCTTATTAACATTCAATATATATAAATAATATACCCTTCCAGTTCCATGTCATCTCAATTTACATCTATCATGCAATTCTCTCTATTCATTCTTCTTCTGTTCTCACCTTTTGCTCTCCGCTGCCACCGATCGATACATTGTGTTTCATTTGTTTGTAAACTTTTGTTTTTGGATTATCTACAGGAATATTGCCCCTTCCATGGAGAAAATGCAAGTGTCTCCGATGAGGAATGTCAAGAGGCAGAAAACAGAAAAGCCGAGGACCAAAAGGGTATGGAGATTGAAGCTTAATGTAACTTGGCAAAGGATCAAGAAGGCCTTGAAATCCACTCTCAGGCACCGCCTTCATCTTCATCTTGCATCCAACCTCAACAAGCTCTCCACTCTGAAACTTAATCATCATTATATGGCTATCATTAGGCCTATTCGACATGTAATGAAAAAGAAGAAGACCTTTCGTCCCACCATGCCATTAGCCCAACTCATTCAATTGCAGCGCGCCGCTTTCGACTTCATAGACCGCGGTGATGCGATGACTCCATCCAAGTCCCCATTCGAGAATATATCCACACAATGGCGTGAGCTTCATGGTTTGCAAGATTGGGATGGCCTTATTGAGCCTCTCCATGCTTGGCTTAGGCGAGAAGTTGTCAAGTACGGCAAGTTTGTCGAAGCAACTTATGATGCTTTCTACTTTGATCCTTTATCTGAGTTTTGTGGAAGCTGTAGGTACAATCAGCACAAACTGTTTGAAGAACTAGGCCTTACCAAACATGGTTGCAAGGTTATCAAGTACATTTATGCCATGTCCCATGTCGATGTTCCCGAATGGTTAGAGAGGACTTACTGCTCTTGGAGCAAGAATTCCAACTGGATGGGATACGTTGCAGTCAGCGGTGGTGCTGAAACTGCAAGAATTGGGAGGAGAGATATCCTCGTGGCATGGCGGGGCACAGTGGTTCTAAACGAGTGGTACAGTGACCTCAGAACAAGTCTGCAGCCACTTGGGAAAACCAATATCAAGGTCCAACGTGGGTTCCTCAGCATCTTCAGTTCCAAGGGCGAGTTCACAAGGTACAATAAGTTGAGTGCATCGGAACAAGTCATGGAAGAAATCCGGAAGCTTGTTTACTTTTTCAGACGGGTGAGGAAGTTAGCTTACAAGTCTGCGGCCATAGCCTCAGGGGTGCCTTGGCACTCCTCAATGCTTACGATGCCGCAACGTACTTCCCCAATCTCTTCATCAGTGTCATCTCTTTTGGTGCACCAAGAGTTGGGAACATACATTTCAAGGAGAAGCTCAGAGAACTAGCAGTCAAGACACTAAGGGTTGTTGTCAAGTAAGATATAGTCCCGAAGTTGCCAAGGTTCATTCTCAACACCATTCTCAACAAGTTTACAGCGGTAACCGGGAGATTGAAATGGATTTACCAGCACGTCGGAACGCAGTTGAAGCTTGATGTACTCATGTCGCCGTATTTAACATGCGATCCAGATTACACGGGTAGTCATAATTTGGAAACGTACCTCCATCTGTTGGACGGATACATTAACAAAACATCAAAATTCCGTTGGAATGCAAGAAGAGATGTTGCCTTGGTTAACAAGACAAGAGATATGTTAATAAAGGAGTTAAAGATCCCAGAGTTTTGGTACCAAAAGCCATTCAAGGGACTTGTGCTAAACCAATATGGCCGATGGGTTAAACCAGGGAGACAACCTGAACACGTTCCTTCTCCAATTAGAATTAGATCCAATCACGACCTTTCACTTTAAGATTAAATGTTGGTTCTTTGAGAAATCCATTAAAAAACAAGAACCCCAAGTCCAATTTTGAATCTAGTTTCCCCCCTCCCCCCCATTTTTTCTGTTGATATGAGATTCATTTATTTGTTGAACATTGATCAGAAAAAGAGTTTTCTTTTTGTTCTTTTTATTGAATTTGATTGACATTATTTGCAACATTCTTTACAAAGTGTCAATCCACAAATTTCCATTAAACACTGAACAAGAACTAATCAAAGATGTTCAAGCTGAAGATCCAAAGGAAGTGATTATGTTTACAAACAAACGATCAGACATCAAGGTTCCCTAAAACCATATTATCAACAAACATATATAAGTTCAGGTACTTGTGATTCAAGACAACCTGGTTCCCGGGTGGAAAGACACAAGCACAATAACAATGTACATCAAACAGATGATTCTGATCTTGAAACTTGAGATAAAGAATCTTCGAATTGCTCGTCTTCTAGTTTCTCAGAGTTCAAGCTTGGTGGGATAAAGGATTTGAATATCTGGTCCATGTGAGGAGTTTCTTTCAATTCTTGGTTAGCGACCTCAAGAGCTGTGTGACAAAAAGCCCCATAGAATTTCTTCCTGCAGATGAAGAAGAAGAGGAGAGACAATATCGGTAGCGGAATCAGAATGGGAGTATAATAGAATTTCGACACCCCAAAGTAACCCAACATAGTAGCTTGGTATAACAACAGGGAACCGAGGATTCGGGTATGCATGTGAGGCCACATTCTTCCATAGCTCTCATATGCTGGGACATAAACTTTGAGTGCCTGTTACAAGAACAGCATAAAACAGATAAGTAAAATAAAACTAGGTTTGAATTGTAAGAATGATAATTATAAAGCAGAAATGGAAAGGGAATCCAGGAAAATGAGAGAAATACTTGATTCCGGAGAACAAGCCAACCCAAGGCAAAGTAAAGCACTCCAAATGGGATGATCACAGGAGCTATAACCGAGTAGCAGAGAACAATGGTGACAATAAGCATGTCATTAGGAACTCTAGTGGCATAGCTAATATCTCCGGGGAACCATGCTTCTTTTAACTCGGCTTCGGTCTTGCAAAGATAATTCCTCTTCACATGATATATGATAAGCGGCACTATTCGAGAAAGCTCGAGCCCATAACCGACAAAGAACCTGCCAACCAATAACCCCAATGAAACCAAAACACATATATTTAAAGCAACTGCAATGAGAAAAAGGTAGAAGGCTTACTTCAAAGCCACAAATGTAATGAAGAAAGTTGCATTCCCAGGGAGGCTTTTTGCCAGTATCTCGAAAATGGAGTTAGGTTTCTTTTCAATGGTCTTAAGTGCACTGAACAAAGTTCCACCGATAGTAACACCGATGAAAACATTAAACACGATGAAATAAAAGTATTTCCCTGATGCAGCCCTTATGACATGGCTCCCCGAAGGGATTCCTTCGGTCTTAGAGAGGAACAATAGAAGCTTCGGTAATAAGGCCAAAAATATGATGAGCGCAAGCTGGGGAAGATATGCCTCCAATACTGTCTTAAGTGCAACCACATCAACAACAGGCTTCAAGAATGGCAAAACTTTTCTCAAATTCTCGAGGGTTGTCAATGCGGAAATGAACGTAATGGGAATCAGATAAAAAATTATAGTCAGAAACACGACAAAATAAACAGCATATTGTCGTCTTATCCTCCCATAAAACTTGATGGTCAGATTGCTCCATATAAGTTGACGAGGTTCGGGTGCTTCCGTCACAGTCCAATTGTCAACCATCTGAGCATGTAGGCTTTGAGCAGCCGAGGCTGCAGTCAGCTTGCTGGTAAAGAAAACCAAAGCAGATCCTTGCTGCTTTTCTCGGAGGGTCAACTTTTGTTCCGCTTCCAATTTTTGTGTCAATTCCTTGATCTTTTCATTGTAGTACTCTATGCTGTCTACTTTTTTGCCACAGAAACCAAGGAAGCCGGTTTTGTGGGTCGGTTTCGTACCTTGACCTTTTCTCTCGGACTCTTCATATATTGCTTCTGCCCGCAGAAGCTTCTTCTTGAACCCTTCTAACTCTCCCCAGATTTTGTCAACCTACATGTCAACAATATGTTTGGTTTAAACCGAACAGGCTAGACTCAAAGGAGATGCAAATTATCATAATATTACCTCTTTGTTGTTCGTGACCACCATTGATCTGTAGAATGTATGGGAATATATAGATTTGAAATACGTATCGACCTGCTGCTTTCGACTTTGACCCGGAGCGACATCCGGCAAGTCTCTAACGAGAACCGCGAATTGCTCGGGTTTCACTTCATCAGACTTTAGAGCAGTAGCTCTTAGAGTAGAAACATGTTTGTAAGCCTTCCATGAAAGGAAATAGGTGACAACAGAGACCCAATAGGTGGCTACCAGGAATGCCCACAGCCTTGGACTCCTCTCCTGTATAGACAAGACGACAATAAACAGACTTTTGTATATAAAAACACATTCATGACACCGTAATCGTACTTGGTCCGAGAAAACAATAAACATATCCTGCTGACGAGAATGTTATACGTAGCTTACTTGAATATTTGCCATTGACAACTTGTCTAGATCATTGAAAGTCCCGTTACTTGTACTATGTGCGTTCTTTACACCATCAGTAGCAGCAATGGGTAGAAGAACTGGAAGCAGTACAACGCCAGACAAAACAAATATTCCCAATACTGTAACATTCATCAGGAAAAAGAAAATTCAGGATTAGTCTTTCACACACCTCTTCATTGCATTAAGCAATTCAGACAAAAATTTCTTCTGTTTTTTGGAGTCAACCCCGTATACGGCATTCCTAAATGTATCAGTGAACAACAACGATCCTACATTCCTCACCTTGACAGCAAATCAAGGCAATTCCCAGTATCCAATCATGCATCAAAAGTTCAGGTAAGATTCAAAAGCACCGGAATGTCATGTGAATAAATTAAAACATAACTACATGGTGGACGCTCTTTGTTTAGCTCAAAACGGTCGCCTCCGACGTAGATTATGATGTGGATATGGTTTATATTTTAAAAAGAAAAAAGAAAAGCTCAGAAAAAATTAGGTACATAGATTTGAAGGTATACCATATAACTAATCCTTACTAAGTACAGCTAACATCACCTAAACTAACACAAATTCTGGTATTACGATTCAGATTACTTTTGTATATTTGATCGATTACAGAAAGAACAAAGAAGATTCCCATTAAAGTAGATAGCAAAACTATCCATAATTAGATAGAAACTGATGAGTCAATATAAATTTCACTTCAGAATAATTAAAAATAAACCTCAATACATATTATATATATGTTTGTGTGTGTAAAAACTCCTAAACTAAAACAAACACAGGCAGATCTCAAACTCAAAATGCTAAAAAAGAGGACAGAAAATCAGGTGCACTAACTGAAAAAACAACATTTGTACAAAAAATTCAGACATGTGCAGAAGACTAAAAAGGAAACAAAAGGATAAGAACAAAAACCAGTGCTAAGGAAGACAAAGTAGACGGCAGTGTCGACCCCAGACATGTGGATGACATCTTGTTCAGTAGAAGACAACGCTTCGCTTATCCAAGCAAAAGGTTTTCGTGTCTTAGAACCGCCTTCCCACGGTTCCAAACCTTTGACGATCCTGTTCGGATAATACACCACCGCGTTTCCTTGCCTCGTCGAAAGCCAGGCAAAGAGCAGCATGAAAACAGTGAATATTACAAAAGACGTCCCTAAGGACGTCAGGAATGAACTAAAATCCATCTGGGCTCACTCTCCCTTACAAAGAAAAAACTCTGTTTCCTCTGTTTTCTCAAACTCTTGTATATGTGAAGAAATAAAAAGGAATGGAAGTGGTAGCCGTTAAAAGCCGTGACAAAGAACTTCCCAGAAGAAACAGGGAAAAACGATATATCCAATTATGATTTTTGTTGTTGTCAAAAGAAATTTATTCGACATTGATTGATTTGATTAGGTGGAAATTACGATAACCCAAAGTTGTCATTGTAAAATATCTGCCCAAGAACCGGGGGTTCTGTTTGAGGGGCATGCATTTGAAATCGTTCATTCTTTTTCTCTTTTTTCCTTTCGAAGGCAGGGATTTGCTGCATAAGATAACTGTGCTTTAAAGCGGATTTCATGGGGGATGGAAACTTGGCCCGTGGTCGAGTTCATTGATGCAGTGTTAAATACTTGCCGTGGTTTTGTTTTTCAAGTCTAAACAAAGCAAGTAAAACCGAGAACGATTGGTTTTTCCATTTTGTGTTGCTTACATTTGAATTTTCTTGATGAGAATCCACTGTGTAAGAATTTGTTTGAAATTGCAATTATTTGATTTTACTGTTGAAGTTGGTGATCATACATATTATTTTCATAAATAAATAAAATTGTGCCAGATAATAATTGCCTTGCAAATAGTAGAAAATAGAAATATACTCTCTACTTTTTAATGATATATAATAGCATCGTTTAGATGAACAATATATTATATATACATACAATATTATTCTTTAATGGTAATTTCTTTAGTGATCATAAAATGATAATTAATTTATTTTATCTTTATTCCATAAAATATATATGTTGCAGGTTACTTTTTAAAATAATATATTGGTCAACGATTTAATGCCATAAAATTTAAACGCAGTTTAATCCTTTATAAAATAATTTTTTTAAAAATAATATATGTAGACACATCCACCTTTTTTTTACTCATACTACTATTTCATAGTTTAAACTGAGATTAATTTATAAGATTATAAAAACGATAAAATTATTATATAACAATTTATTGAATTTATTAATTGTAAAATATATTAAAGGTTATCAAATTATGATTATTTTTACTAACAGGAGCTTGTTCAAGTGATAAAACTCGATATCGTTTACGTAGAGTCACGGGTTTGAGTTATTGTGTATGCAAAAAATCTCTGATGGGAGACTCACCCACCAAAAGCAGGTGTGCAAGCGAGTTGGTCTCGATTAGTTAGGGTGAAGTCTTGGATCTGGGAGGGAAACAAAAAAAGTATGATTTTTCTATAATTATTTTTTTAAAAAAATTAAAAAACAATCATTTAATTTTATAATTTTTATAAAATATTAATTAATACCAATTTAATAAATTTTGAAAAAAAATTAATAATTAAAACTATTATTTGAATAAATTTAATAATTTTTATATATTTTATCAATTAAATTATAGGTAAACTATATATTTATTCACTCAATTATCATTTTAATTTCGTTTCGGACATCTCATTATTTTTTAATATAATCACTAAATTTATATTTTATTTTTATTATGATCTCTTATCGTTAAAAAATTAATAAAACTATCGATGTAATTTTTTAATTACTTTTTGAAACGATGACATGATATTATTTTATCATAAAATATCATTATCATTATTTTTTAATAATAAGTAATTAAAATAAAATTAAAATAAGATTAATAATTATTTAAAAATAGATGATAATTAAATACTATACAGGCTAAAAACTTCAGAGAATCAATTGGGATGGGAGCTGCTAAAGAAGCTTAAGGCGGAAGTTTTGGCCTATGCATATCATCTACCTTATCCACAAAAATATCTGCGTGACTCATGCATGACCAACTACACTCTCAATTTTTTGTCTCAGCACCACCCAACTTCGACTGAAAGCTACTCTCTGTAAAACTTACACGTGTCAGATTTATATCAACAATCGGCGTCAGCGAAGAGCCAGTGCGTTGTCCGTGTTTACTCCGCGGCGAGTTGATTACGGAGATAGTTTTCTTTACAATTCAAAAGCGACACGTGGAAGGAAAAAGAGGGCTAAATTACATACATGATACCGTTTGCTTTTAATTTTACTTTTCTGACACCGTTTGACCAATATTTCCAGAAGTAGCACCCTTTCGGCTGAGTTGGCAAAGGCGCGTCCCCGGGGGCGCGCTTTACCCGTGTTTTTCGTTGAGTTGGATGCCACGTGTGGAAGGCGCGTCCCCGGGGACGCGCCTTTGCCAACTCAGCAGACACGTATTTTGTTTTATAATAAATAGTTTATTTTTATTATTATTATAAATTAATAATATATTATGTAAAATGTTTCGATTATAATGTAAGAATTATCAAGTTTCGAGTATTTTTGATTTTGATTATCGATCTATTAATTTTATCAGTTAATTATTTAAATGTTATCAATCTAGTCATCTCATATCAATATTTAACGAAAATATTGATGCATAAGTTAATAAATTAGTATAATTACATATTTAATCTTCAAGACTTACATATTTTATAAAATTAGTCTTATTGAAAATTTAATTTAATAAATTTAATCCTCCAATCAGAACATGAAATGTGTCATCGTATACATAAATTTTTTAATAACTTTTAATTTGTTTAATTTAATATTTTTCTCTACTTAGAATGTGGAATTATTATTATATTTTTAAAAAAATTATAACTAATAATATTAATTATTATATTAAATAAATATATTAAATATATTTATGTATTTAAAAGTTAAAAAAAATTATTTAGGTGTACATACATTGACAAATTATATAAATGCAATAACATTAAATTATTAGAAATAAAAACATTCATTTAAATACAATATTAATTACATAAGAGTTAACGGTTATATGATGATAACAGAGCTGGACATTTTTTTTCTATTGTGCCCGATGTTTCTACAATGCCCACATCGTTTTTGTTCTGTTGACTTCTCCCGAATATCTATATCATAATGTATTCTAGTAGATTTTGGACGACCTGAGTCCCTCAATAGCAATGGATCTGGTACAATTGTAAGCCAAGTTTGAATCTCATTTGGGTCTCTTTCGTTTTCTATGGGCGAAAACTCAAATTCATATACCTTGAATACTTGTGAAAGTTGGTATACGGGATCAACATAATTTTTGTAGTCCAAATGCGAATGTGAGCAAGCAGCAATGACATGAGAGCATAGATATTTGAGTGCTTGAAAGAAACCACAATCGCACCACCTCTCTTGCAGATTAACTCTGAAAGAGTTAGCTTCAATCCCTTGCAGCGGACGTGACATTTCGGTTACACGAAACAATTCACGGGTGCGAGAAAAATTTGTAACTAACATCTCATTTGATGCAGCCACTTTTTTCTGTAAATCGGCTACTAGTCTTGGGTGGTAAATATGTCCGTTTTGCATCCAAGTAAGAGATTGTCCACCGAGTTTTGCAAAGAGTTGACCCAAACGAAAATAAGTCGTTTTGACCAACGCCGTGACTGGTAAATGACACGCCCCCTTTAAGGTTGAATTTATTGCTTCAGTCAAGTTTGTTATCATATGACCATAGCGATACCCCCCGTCATATGCATTTGTCCACATTTCTTTGCTGATGTCCATAATGTACTCGCACCCCTTCTTATTTTTGCCAAACAACTCTTGTAGCATCGACTCAAACCTTTGAGGTAAGAGTTCGTAACCTAAGCCATTAGGAATATGTAATAGTTAATATGAAGTATAAATAAGTAATAAGAAATTGATAGAAAAATTGGGAAAAAGTAACATACCCATCCGCACGACTAACTGACGTTCATCGTTCTTCTTGTATTTTCCGTAATAGTTTGCAGCAATATGACGGACACAATAACGATGTTGAACATGTGGAGGTCTATACATTGTACCCAAAGAGTCCATTGCTGCTTTTATCCCGGCTCCTCGGTCTGAAATAATGCATAGTCGTTCCCTGGTGACAACATGTAAACGCAAATTTTTAAGGAAAAAAGCCCAAGACTCAGTGTCTTCTCCTTGAACGAGGGCAAACGCAACAGGAAGAATATTGCGGTTTCCATCTTGGACCACAGCCAATAATAAAACTTGCTTGTATTTCCCATACAATAAAGTACCATCAATTTGGACAATTGGTTTACAGTACTTGACTGCATTAATACACTGAGGGTAAGTCCAAAAGACTCGGTAAAATTGGCAGCGATCGCGAACCATTCGATCATTCACGTAATGATGTTGAGTTTCGAACTCAACAATTATCCCGGGATTAAGTCTTTGCACAACATGAAACCAACTGGGCAGCTCGTTGTAAGAGGAATCCCATTCGCCATGAAGTTTGCAAATGGCATTCTGTTTTGCCAACCACGCTTTTTTATATGAGACAGTGTACCCATATTGTGACTGTATAGCAGAAATCAACACTGCAACAGCTATATGAGAGCTTTGCTTCATAATGGGCATGATTGCTTGACAAATAATGTTGGAGTCCAAGTTGGGATGATCCTGGTTTATACCTGTTGCACAACATGTATGAGGACCGTTGTATCTGGTTAGTTCCCATAAGTTGTTCTTCCTCTTCCTCTTTGATACACGGACCATCCATTGACATCCGTTATGACGTTGGACGCAGTAGCAGACATATTTCTCCGTGTTAGATCGATCAACTCGGGACTGAACTGAGTTACGAATATTGTAACTCTTTATTGCCATCATTGCTTCCTCCTTCGATGCGAACTCCATTCCAATATGTAAATTATCATCATTGACTGATGATTGAAGTCCATAGTTGCCAACATCAGGAAGATCTGGAAATTCAGGCTCATACATTGCATCATAATCAGCCTCATACATATGTGCAGGAAGTTCGACTGGTGTTGTATTTATTGGAACGTCATCCTCGTCATCATCAGAATGTACGTTAAACTGTGGTGAGTCAGGTTCAACGAATAATCCCGTTTCAGCACCATTTGCACCTGGCTCCCGAAGAGGTTCTTCTGGTGGAGATGAGGGTTCCTCCGATAATCCAATGTTGAGGTCAAATAAGTTCCCGCTTGCGTGTCCTCCCCTTGAACTTG